GTGGGAGCGGTGCTCTTGGAAGTCTTTAAAGATTCAGGCAGGAAAAGGGGTCTGGTAACCAGCGGGGGGAGGGGGGGGGTGTGTCAAGGAGGAGAGCAGAGCCAGCAGCTTTGGGAGTGGAGTCTGTGGGTCAGGAGCGGAGCCGGGTCCTCAGGGGCGGAGACTACAGCCTTCTGAGAACCAGGCTACTGCTGTTGAGTCTGGAACTCCTGAGCACAGGGCCTCAGAAAAGGCGAATCCTTCGGGAAGCTCCGGAATGGGCCTGGAGCCCTCAGAGGGGCCGGGCCTCCTGGGCAGGACGCTCCGTCCTCAGAATCTTGAGCATCTCGCGTGAGAAGCGGAGACCTGTGGGAGCTTCCAGCATCTGCGCGAGTGAGGGAGCACATTCTGATCGCGCTCCCGGACACCTAGGAGTTGAGGGATGAGGCCTGCAAGTGGGAGTCTGGTTTAGGAGACGCTGCCCAGGGCCTCCCCCTCGCTCCCAGTCATGAGGGGTCACAGCACCGTCACACTAGGGGCTCTCCTTCACCGAGGGTCCAACCGACTCCCGCCCCCCCAACACACACACACACACACACACACACACACACACACACACCACCGAGAACCCCAGGCAGGCCCCAGCGCCCCCCGCCCAACACCTGTCCCTCTAGCCCCGCCCCTACCGCCTTCCGATTGGCCTCGGAGGCAGCGCCCCTGGCGGCACCGGGCTCTGATTGGCGAGAAGTTCGAAGCCCGCGACCGGGACTCGGAGAAAATGAGTTGGCCTCGGGCGGGGTCGTGGGGCGGGCGGCGCAGAGCCGGACCCACTGGACAGACTGCCGGCCTGGAGCGGGACTCCGCACGGGACACGATGCGGTGGCCTGGCCTCGGCGGCCGCCGCCCCCTCCCGCTGCTGCTGCTGCTGCCGCTCCTCGCAGCCGCCGCCGCCGCCGCCGCCGCCAGCCCCAGCCCCAGCCCCAGCCCCCGCCAGGCCGTCGAGGCTGCGGTGATCCCGGGCCGCCCGGCCGGGTAAGCCCCGCTGCAGCCCCTCTCCCTGTGCCCCCTCCACCTGAATGGTGTGGTGGTCCAGGAGGCCAGGACTTTTCTCTCTAAGGGGAACCGAGCCCCCTGCTTCGGGCGAGGATGAAAGGGCCAGAGCGCTTGGATTTATTAGGGCCCTTGATTTTGCAGGGGCTAGAATCCCGGGAGTGCTGAGATTTTGACGGGAGCGATTCCCTTCTGATGTGTGTGGTAGAGATAGATGTGGCTCCAGGGAATTCTGGGGTTTTTCTCGGAGAAGGGTCCCAGTTTATATGGGGGCAGGGCTTTGGGTTCTCCTAGGACGATAGATGGGTGGGGCCCTCGAACTGGGATCGGGCTCCCCAAGTTTCTTGGGTGCTCAAGGAGGAAGAGTAGGGGAGGTGACGAAGGAAATTTATGAGGGATTTAAGATGTCTTGGTGTTCTAGGGTTTGGGGGCGCCTGGATTAATTAAAAGGGACACTCGAATCTTCCTAATGAGGAAGACGTGGACTTTCAGGTTGATGGCGGAAGGGCTTGCGGGGAATGGTGCCGGTGGGGTGATCCTCGGGTTTCATAAAGGTTGGAGATGCTGGAGTTACCCTAGAATTAAAGGAGTTCAGGCTTGAATGAGGTACCAGTGATTTCGCGGCAAGAGACCCAGAATTTCCTATAGATTTGGGGGTTGTAGCCACCCTTCCTGTGTACGGTGACGAGATCCAAGGAAACAGTCTGTCCAGCACCCCCACCCCCTGCCCGGAGCCCAGCGCTCCGTTACAAAGGCCCCGGGCTGCGCTCCCGCCACCGTCTCTGCGAATACGTTTAGTAACCCGAGCCGCACCGGGGGCGGGGCCGGGAACGGGTTAACCCGGAGAAAAGGCGGGAGGGATGACGGCAAGATCGGGGTCCCGGAGGTTCCCACCCGGCGGCTTCCTTCCCCACTGGGCCCCTACCGTCTTGGGAAGAGTCCACGCGCCCGATGTCCCCTTGGAGGCACCCCCCACTGCGCTTCTCTCAGGGCCTGCGCGCTCTCCCTCTCCCTCGCCCCCCTTAGCCTGGCAATAATGGATTTGTCTGGGGGGCCCCTTGGTTTCGACGCACTTGCGTCTGAGCTGAGGGCTCCACTACCCAGAATCTGAGACCCCCTGGGCGCAGAGATTTCTCCAAGAACAACTCTTTCCTCCTGGTCAGACGGGAAAGCGAGGCTCAAAGACCAGGAGACGCTGGCTCCGGGACACACGAGCTTGCAAGGGCAGGAATGGGCTAAAACTCAGCCTCGGGATTCCCAGTCCTGGGCTGTGGCTCCTTCTATATCCCCCTCCACCTCCGAACCCTGCTGGATCCACAGTCAAAGGACTTTACTTCCCAGCCGCTGAGGCCTGTGGAAGTAGCGCCACCTAGCGCCCATGCGCGGGATGACATCTAGTCCAGGACAGGGATATGCCCGGAGGGCAGGGTCCTAAATTCCCAGACTGTCTGGGTTGGAAAATGCGCTTAGAAATCCCCTTTGAGTTCTTTTAATCGCTTAAAAAATACTTTAAAGTGTCTTTTCCAAGAATACTTTACCTCCAAAAACTTCAGAAGACAAGTAAAAATGAGGTTGCTGTGACCTTCATCCCTAGAGAGACTAAGCTAATTTGCCTCCCATTGTATAGATAAACAGGCATCCAGCGCAGTGCCTCAAATGGGCCACATATCTATTTCCAGCACCCTCAAGCCTTATCTTGGTCCACCCCCCCCCCCATCTTCATTGCCCTCCTTTTGGGAGTTGTAGAACCCTAGAGACCTGAGTGACTCCCACCCCTCTGTTACAGTGTTGTTGCTTGTCGCTGCTGCCCAGCCCGGTCACTCAGGAGGAGCCGTTGCTTCAGAGGTGGGTTCTCCTAGGTGGGGTACAGGTAGGGGTGACATGCAGTAGGAACAGAGGGGCTGTGGGCTCCCTTCCCCACCCCTCATCCCAGTTGGAGATCTGGATGCACTTGATGGGAAGAGGGACTTGGTCCCCTCCTTCTACACTTAGTCCCTGGCTGTCTCCAAAGCCTCCTGCAGGGTCCAGAGCTGCCCACCTGAAAAGTGTGCAGGTCCTCAGCGGTGCCTGGCACCAGGGTCCCCTGCACTGCTGAGCCCCAGCCCCAGCCCCAGCGTGAGGAAGAAACAGGTGTCCCTGAACTGGCAGCCACTGACGTGAGTGTGCAGTCCCTCCCCTACCAAATGCTCAGCAGCTCCCAGCTCCTCCGCCATTTCTGGCACATCTTCCACTCTACTCCCTGGGTCTCCTCCTCTCAGTTGTTCCCTCTCCTTCTTTCCCTCCTTCCCTCCCTCCTCTATCAACTTCTATGTTTCTATTTCTCCTGTTCCTCCCTATTGCAGTCTCTGAGCCTTTCAGTCTATCTCTCTGTCTGTCCCACTCTCTGTATTTGTTCTTCCCATCTCTGTCTCCTTCTGTTTCCCTCATTGTCACCTGTTTCTCTTCTTCTGTCTCTCCTCTTTCTCTTTCTCTTTCTCCCTTCCTCATCTGATTCTCCCACAGCCTTTGTCTCTGTTTCTCGCCAAGCCTCTAAGGAATGCTCAAGGCCTGGTCCCTATAGAGGGGTGGGGGTGGGGGTGGGATAGAATGGTGGGCAGAGGCGACACGGGAAGCCCTCCTGGCTGGAAGGCCCCTTCCAGCTTGCGGGGGGGGGGGGGGGGGGGGGGGGCGGGAGGGGGCGGGTGTCAGCCTAATCGCAATGACAGCTCCCTCTCTGCCCCCTCCCACCCAGGCTGCAGGAGGCCAGAGCTCTACTGAGAAGGCGGCGGCCCCGTGGGCCAGGGGGCCGGGCACTGCTGAGTAAGAGGCCCCCACAGCGCACTCCTGCCGGCCAGGCCCGGGGTAAGAACATCCGCCTTTCCCCTGCCGCTGAGGGGGGAGGGTTCCGGGCCTGATAAAGCCGTCTGGTTCCCACGGCCCAGCCGCTGCCTAGCTGCCCCCCATTGTAGCTCAGTACCCCACCCCAGGACACGGCCCCCTCTAGGGACCCTGGCGTCCGGCCTTGAGAGGTAAGCCCAGGACAGGACCAGACGCTGGCCAGAGGCGCTGACCTGCGGGGGTGGGGCCGGGAAGCCAGGCGTCCGGGCTCCCCGAGGCCAAAGAGGGGGGCGCTGTCCCGGCAGAGAGCGCAGTTGAACTAGCCCAGACAACAAAAGCGATTGTGCGGGTTGGCGCCTGCCCGGTCACTGAATGCCCAAAATTGCCTGGCGGCTAGAGGCCAAAGGCCTCCCCTTGCTTCCCTTGCTCTCCTCTCACTCCAGCTCTCGCCCCTGGGCTAGCACACCCCCTAGTTTTAACCACCCTCAAAAGTACCCCTCCTGCTGTGGCCTTCAGCCCAGATGTGTCCCCTCCTCCCTAAAGTCTTCCAGATGTGGGCCTCTGGCCAGATGTAAGGACCCCCGCCCACAGCCTCAGTTCACCGTTCCCCTTATTCATTCTGACTTCTTTTACCAGGTGTGGGGGTTTCTGGCCAGATGCTAGTGAAGCCCCCCCAGCGTCCTGCGCACCATCCAGACCCCCAGTTCCTTCATGTGCCCAGGTGCAGACCCTCCTCTCCCCCAATTGCACCTGGCTGCCCAGATGCGCCGTGACAGTCCCTATCCATATGAAGCCCCTTTCTCTGTACCTAGGGCAGAGAAGCAGCCCTTAGCCGCCTCCCCAAATGCGGCCCCCACTTCTCCTTCCTCTTTACGGATTCAGGCCTGTCTGGGGGAAATGAGCCCGCCCCCACCTGTTCCCTTCCTCGCCGCTCCCTCGTGGGCCCCATTCACTTGTTGAAGCGAGGAGGGACAGAGGGGGCGCCCCCGCCCCCTGTGAGTCTAGCGCCCAGCCTGCGCGCCTCTGGCTGCACGCCCAGCCCCACGCGCCCCCGCGCGGCCGCCAGGGAGGGAGTGGTGGGGAGGGGGGGGCCTGAGCGGGGGCGCGGCCGTCCTCCCCCGCGGGCGGGCGGGCGCGGCCGGGCCCCTCGGGCGGGCTGGGGCGGCGGCGCGGCCGAGCGCGGCGCTGCAGCCATGGCGGGCGGCGCGCGGCTGCTCTGGGTGTCTCTATTGGTGCTGCTGGCGCTGTTCGGGCCGCAGCCCGGACAGAGCCAGCCGCGAGAGCGCCTCCGCGTGCGCTTTACCCCAGCGGTGTGCAGCCTGCGCTGCGTCCATGGGCCCACCGGCCCTCGCTGTACCCCGATCTGCGCGCCCCGCAACACCACCATCGTGGACAGCGGCGCGCCCGGCGGGGCGGCCCCGGGGGGACCCGGCTTCCGCGCCTGTGAGTGCGGGGTGGTGGTCCCGAGGGAGGGGTTCCCAGGGGGAGGAGAAACCCCTGGGGATGGTGGAAACAGTCCCCCAGGGAGAGGGAGCCCAGATTCCCTGTGCTGGGGGGATCCCTGGTTAATTAAGAAGGGAAGCTTCAAATTCCTGGCTTTTGGGGTTGGGTCCTGATTTTTCAAGCAATAGGGGTTCTCAGGGACCTGTGGCGTCCCACGTGAGGGAATTGGGTCCGACTTTCCAGCCTTCAAGTCAATCTTGGTGATACCAGACTTGAGGGCCTTGGGAACCTGGGGAAAGGGGGCTTGAATGGAGACTATAGTGGGTCCCTAAAGACCAAGGGAGAGTTTCAGGGCTTGCGGGGGGGGGGGGTCCCCAGTTTCTGTGTCTATGAGTGAGAGGGATTAGGAAAATCCAGGATGGGAGTGCCTGTGTGGAGGGAGATTGGGGTGAGGAGAGTTGATTTGGAGAGCTGAGAGGGAACCCGTCCATAGAAGGAGGGTTTCTGCAGGACCCTGAGTTGAAAGGGTCACACATGGGAGAGAACTCCAGATAGGAGGCCTAGGGGATGGGGTGCCCCTGGGGACAGAGGGCACAGAAGGGGGATCGCACCAGGGAGTCACCAAGGGCTCAGGTGAGGTGGGAGAATGGGCCACCTGTTTGCCACAGGGTGTGGGGATGGGCTGATTCTCTGGTCTGGGCCTACCTGCTCCCAACCCAAGAGGCCCTCTGGAGTGGGGAGTGGGGGCCCCTGGCGCCGAAAACTCGCCCAGCCTGGCCCCCAGCCAGTCCAGCCCTGGCGGCGTGAGCTCATCCCGCCTGAGCCCCGCCTGCTGCCACTCCTTCTCTCCTCCCCTTCCTCCCTCCTTCCTTCACTCCCTCCCTGCCCAGCCCCAAAGCACCCGTGCCAAGCGCCGTGCCCAAGCGGGTGCCAAGCCCCTGGAGGCACAAGGAGGGGCATATGAAAGGGGGCTGACCTCGGCAGGACCCCTATGTCCTCAGCTCCTCACTTCTCCAGGGGCGTGGGGGGTGGAGTTGGCCATGCCCATCTAGCAGCCTGTCCTGGCATGGGAGCCCTCAGGGAGCTGGGTGGGGGGCCTGCTTTCAGGCCAAGAGAAGGTGGAGAAATGCTCTGAGGCTGGGAAGTGCCCTTCCCCTCCTCCCCCCTGCCCCCCAGACGTAGTTTGATTATCACAACCCCCAGCAGAGACCTTACCTATCCTAGGCCTGTTACTAAGGATCCCTATTAGAGCAACCTGGAATCCTGGGCTAGCTCCCCTAACTAGTGGGGCTAGAGTGTCTGCCCTCAGATCCTAAGTCCCATCCCCACCCCCATCAATAAACTAGAGAAAAGCCCCTCCAGTGAAGTTTCCTCCCTCCCATTCTTCTGATGTAATCCCCAAATTGTACCTGTCACCAGTAAATTCTGTAGTATTTCCCCTCCGCTACTGTTCCCCACTCTCCAGAGGAGCCCCAGATTACAAACCCTAAACACTGATAACTCCACTTCCTAGCTGAATTCTTTTCCCACAAAAGACTGCCATTTTCTTATATTTCCAATGGAATCCCATCAGAGTCCTAATTGCTATCTTTCCAAGTCCTTCTCTTTCAGCTGACCCCCTCTCCAGGATCTTCTGACCCATCTGTCTTCAGAGAACCCCAGAGTTAGCCTTGATCAGCTGATTAGGACTCCAGGCACCAGCCATTAAACAAAAGACTTGGGCACCCAATCCCTTGGCTGGGAGGGGAAGGGGGATCGCACAGCATCTTAGAGTCTTCCCAGACTACTGAGGCTCTCATGTGCTGGGGACTCCCAGAAATCCCACTTCTTCTAACATTTTTCTCAGCACCCTCAAATTGGCCATCCCCTGAGTACCCTTCTCCAGCGCTCCCTAGAAGGCACTAGAGTCCTCTTTTCTAGGTTATTCTCTCCAAAAGGACTTCATGGATTCCTGTTGAATGGGCGCCTCAGATCCTCTGAGCTAGGCTCGTTCCCTTTCCATTCTAGAAAACTTGAGTCTTTGAACCCTAGAGTATTGCCCTTTAGCCGGTCTCCCGGGAGTCCAGTCTCTTTAACCCTTCAAAACGGAGGAGGCTCTCTTTCTGCTTTCCTCTCTGCAGTGTGTGGCTCAGAATACCACACACGCCTTCCAGGACGGCTCTGGACGCCTGCTCCCTTCCTCCCATCCACACAGCTGTCTCCAGCTGTTCTCGGTCGCCCCTGGGGAGAAAGGGAGGGGGTGTCCTCGAAGCACACGTCCGGCCTTCTTTGGCTCTAACGGCCCCCGGGGCTCCCCAAGGATCGGGAATGCGGAGCCACCGCCCTACCCCCGCCGCGCCCCTCTCTTTGTTTACCCCGCCGCACAGCTGGCAGTGACCCGCCCAGAGGTGGCCAGGGGCCCAGCGAGTGCGCGCAGAGAGAGGAGGCGCGTTCCCGTTGGTGGCTCCGCCCCGGGGTACTAGAGGCGGGAAGGCAGTGCTAGAGTCTGAGCCAAGGGGAGGTGGGCGGAGACAGTGAGGTGGGCGGGGCTAAGACACCCGCCCAGATAGCTGGAAGGCGGGGTGGGAGGGGCTTGAACAAGTAAGCCCGGGCAAATCAGCGTAAGGAAGGAAAGGAGGTGGGCGGAGCTAAAGGCAGCAAGTAGGACAGCTAGATAGGCGGAGTTTACAATCCCGCGGGAAGAAGGTGATGTGGGCGGGGCTGCAAGGGGGGAGTGATGCCAGGGAGTGACTAAAATGCGGTTTTAGTCAATGCAAGGCACTAGCTGGGTCTTAGGGGCTGGAACAGCAAAACTCAGCCTGAAGATGAGGTGGGCAAGGCTAAATGCTTATGGAAAGAGGGCCAAGTATTTGGTGACGGAAGATGATTTGACTTTGGGTGGTGGACACAGATCATGTATCATAGAATGTGTACTTGAAACCTATATGATCTTATTAACCAGTTACCCCAATTACTTAATTTAAATAAATAAATGCTTACTTCGCCCCGGGATAGCGCTATGTGGGCGGGGCCGGTGCAGCCGGGAAGGCAGTGCTAGAGCCTGAGCCAGGGGAGGTGGGCGGAGACAGTGAGGTGGGCGGAGCTAAGACACCCGCCCAGATAGCTGGGAGGCGGGGTGGGAGGGGCTCAGAAAGTGGGGCTGGAGAGGGAGGTGAGATAACATGACAGTGAATGAAGAGCCGCGGGCGTGGCGAGCCAACCCAGCGGCGAATCTATACCACAGAGGTCTGGACAACTGGACCGAGCTACTGCTAGCAGCCAAGGACTGGTGGAAGTGGCACATGACAGCTCAAGGCGTAGCGACTTAGCACTGAGTGGTAGCTTTGAGGGTGTAGTTACAGTGTTAGGGGCTGAGCTAGTTCGGGTAAGCTGGCCCGAGGGATGCCTGCCAGAAGGGTTGCTGACTCTGAGTGTCCTCGCTCTCCCCCGCAGTCCTGTGTCCCTTGATCTGTCATAACGGCGGTGTGTGCATGAAGCCTGACCGCTGTCTCTGCCCCCCGGACTTCGCTGGCAAGTTCTGCCAGTTGCATTCCTCGGGCGCTCAACCCCCGGCGCCGGCCATGCCAGGCCTCACTCGCTCCGTGTACACCATGCCACTAGCCAACCACCGCGACGATGAACACGGTTAGGAGAGTGCGGCCGGGGTCCTCTCCTACCCCTCTGTCCAGCCCCTAGCCATGCCTCTGACCCCACCTTTCCTGCATTCCCCTGAGTACCCTTCCCCAGGGCGCCCTTCCACCCATTCCTCGCCCCACTCCTTAAGAACCCGGTATGCACCCCTTTGCCCGCGATGCCTTCCTCCAGGTGTGGCATCTATGGTGAGCGTCCACGTGGAGCACCCGCAGGAGGCGTCCGTGGTGGTGCACCAGGTGGAGCGCGTGTCCGGCCCTTGGGAGGTGGCGGACGCTGAGGCGGTGGCGCGGGCGGAGGCGGTGGCCCGCGCGGAGGCGGCGGCGCCCTACACGGTGCTGGCACAGAACGCTCCCCGCGAGGACAGCTACTCCGACGCCTCGGGCTTTGGTTACTGCTTTCGGGAGCTGCGCGGAGGCGAAGTGAGAGGAGGCTGGTGGGGACCCCCCCTCCCCGCCCCCCGCGGGCCACCGCGCTGAGGCGCACTCACCAAACACTTCCCCACAGTGCGCGTCCCCGCTGCCCGGGCTCCGGACGCGGGAAGTCTGCTGCGGAGGGGCTGGCGTGGCCTGGGGCGTTCACGACTGTCAGTCGTGCTCGGAGCACTCGGGTAAGCCCCAGGACGCCCCGAGGTGCTCGGAGCTGGGGAGGGGTGAGAACCCCCTCGCACTCCGCCCGGCGACAAAACCTGTCCTCAAAATAGCCAGGCCTGCCTGGCTGGGGGTCCCTTCCAGTCTGGCCTTATCCGTATGTTCTGGGACCGCCTACGCCACCTTGGACATTGGCTACTCTGCTCTCAGCCTGCCTTTGTCCCGTGGCCCCAGCCGTGCCGTCTGACCCCCCCACCCCACCCCATTATCTTCTGTCGGACCGCCAACTGAGCGCCCACCCGAACTCAAACGACACCCTACACCCTTAGTCCCTTCCACCCCACTTTCGTCCCCGCCCACTCCTTTCTCGATCCTCTCGCCCTGGGCACGACGCCCCTCTCCTCTCTCTACAGGGAACTCCAACCGAGTGGGAGCCCCAGGTGGTCCGTGTCCAGCTGGCTTCGAAAGGGTTAACGGGTCCTGCGAAGGTGAGGGGGGGGGGGGCAGTGGTGGGCGGGGCGGGCCCTCAGGGCGGGGCCGGCGGGAGGTGGTCCCTGACACCACTAGGACCGCTGCGTCCCTCCCCGCAGATGTGGACGAGTGCGCGACTGGCGGGCGCTGCCAGCACGGGGAGTGTGCCAACACTCACGGGGGGTACACGTGCGTGTGCCCGGACGGCTTCCTGCTGGACTCCTCCCGCAGCAGCTGCATCTGTGAGCCACCGAGCGGGCCCGAGGCTGGGTCCCACGTCCCGCTGTGCCCTCAGGCCTATCCCAGCACATCCCTGGACCCTTAATTTCCTTAAACACCCCCAGACCCTCCAAGACTCCCAGGTCTCTCATTAGATCCGCCTCGGACTTTCTGGACCTTCTTCAGCCATTTCTAAGAACCCCTTTTGTCTCCAGATCCCCAGCCTTCCTTCAGCTCCTCCCGGCCCCCAAATCCTCCACCTTCCCTCACCAGAACTTCTTCAGATCCCGAGATCCGTCTCGGATTGTCTCATTCACCCCTCAGGCCCTCTCAGACCTCTCCTGAAAGTCCCTCGAATCCACCAAACCCTCCCTGGATACCCCTCCTCGCGGATCCCCTGCCCTCCCAAACCCTCTCTGAAGTGTTCCTCCCCCTCCCCCAGCCCAACACGTGATCTCAGAGGCCAAGGGGCCCTGCTTCCGCGTGCTCCGCGACGGCGGCTGCTCGCTGCCCATTCTGCGCAACATCACCAAACAGATCTGCTGCTGTAGCCGTGTGGGCAAAGCCTGGGGTCGGGGCTGCCAGCTCTGCCCACCTTTCGGCTCAGGTGAGCGCCTTCTGCCCCGCCTACCCCCCCCCCCCCCCCCCCCCACACACACACTCTAGGCCCCGCCTCAGACCCCGCCCCCAGGCTTTGAGGCTCACAGCCCTCAAACCTGGCTGATGCCTAGTCTTGGCCACTTCCCCAGCCTCGGAGACCGGCTACCCTGAGACTGAACTCTGCCCCAGGCCACAACCATCCTTGGCCGCATCTACTCCTGAGACACACTACCTTCTTCTGAGCCTCACCCCCATTTTTGGCCCCTCCTAGCTCCTGAGATACTCCACCTGTCCCTCCTGTCCCCATGCTTTAGCCGAGTCCCCAGGTCCTGAGACACTGCCTGCAACATAGGCTCTTCCTTGGGCCCCGCCCCACACAGGGCCCTCCCCGAGTCACCTCCCTGTAAATGTAGCTTCTGCTTAAAACCAGACCCCACAAGGGACCTGACTGTTTCCTGGCCTTCATCCTAGTCCTCTGTAGACCCCAAACCAGACCCCACCACCATCCCAAATAGGGAAAACCATCCTTGGTCCTACACTTGGCCTCTGAGATGTCCCAGCCTTTGGCCAGGGTACCACCCATCCCAGCATCTAATCCAAACCCCTGATACACTCCCAGGCCAACCCCTCATCCCCAACCAAGGCCTCCCCCCACCAACCCCCGCTTTCATGCCCTCTTTTTGTCCCTCTCCCTTCCTTTCCTGTTCCCAGAGGGTTTTCGGGAGATCTGTCCTGCTGGCCCTGGCTACCACTACTCGGCCTCTGACCTCCGCTACAACACCAGACCCCTGAGCCAGGAGCCACCCCGAGTTTCCCTCAGCCAACCCCGTGCCCCACCCTCCACCCCTCGGTCACCCACAGGTAAGCTGGCTCCTGGGGGAGGGTGTGTTGTCTCTAGGGGTTGCCCCGGCCCCATAGGGAAAGGAAATGGGGCACCGAAATCCAGGTCTGCACTCAATGACAGCCTCTCCTTACCAGGCCTTCTGCCCACCCATCGCCCAGAGCCCCGGCCTGAGCCTCGGCCCGGGCCTGAGCTTCCTCCACCCAGCATCCCGGCCTGGACTGGTCCTGAGGCTCCTGAACCAGGTTTGGTAGAGGGAATCCAGGGCATTGATGGGGTATTACAGATGGGGGTCTTAGAAGGAGGTTTCAAGGATAGGACAAGCGGGGGTAAAAGAGATAAAGGTATGGAGGGTTGGGTGGTGGTTATGTCGAGAGCTGGAGTCGGACAGCCTGGCTTAAAGTTCTTTGTTAATTGGGCAAATCAGTTTCCTCATTTGTAAAATAGGAATCACTGTGAGCATTCAATGACTGTGGCACAGAGTAAGTGCTCAGTTAATGTTAGGCAAATCAGTATTTTCATGTGGGCACTAAGAACGCACCTGAGGCAGATAATTGAAGAGCAAAATATTTAAAAATGGAGACTTTAGGGTGGTATTATGGGGAAATTTAGGGAGGGGATCTGATGAGAACCTCCCACCATAAAAGAAATGATCACAGGTGAAGACACAGGGCTTGGGGAGGGACATCCCTGAAGGTGTTTTAGGTAGAGGATCTGAGAGGATTGTTCTGGGACAAGTGGGACGGAGGTATAAGAGATGGGGGAACCTGGCTGACTGGATCCCCAGGTCCCTCCGCGGGCATGTGTCAGCGAAATCCCCAGGTCTGCGGCCCGGGACGCTGCATCCCCCGACCCAGGGGCTACACGTGCACGTGTGATTCCGGCTTCCGGCTCAGCCCGCAGGGCACACACTGCATTGGTGAGCTGGACAGAGTTGGTGGGCGGAGGCGGGCGGGGGACTGTGCCGGGCCACCCCCTGACCAGCCCGCTCCGTGCTCTCAGATGTGGACGAATGCCGTCGCATGCCCCCGCCCTGTGCTCCCGGGCGCTGCGAAAACACGCCAGGCAGCTTCCGTTGTGTGTGCGGCCCCGGCTTCCGAGCTGGCCCGCGGGCTACTGAGTGTCTGGGTGAGAAATCCGCTCCAGCCGACTCCAGGCTTCACCTCCGCAGGGATCTCGGGCCTGCTGTCCCTCCAGAGCCGTCCCCGCCCTCTCACGCTCCCCCAGCCCCTTCGGCCCTACTCCGTCTCCCCAGCCCCGGGCCCGCCCCTCCCCCAGACTAGCTCTCGTTCACCCTTAGGCCCCTCCACTGCCTCCTCCAGGCCCAGCAGGTCCTCCCGGCCCCGGGCCGGTCCCTATTCTGCTACTGCTCAACCTTCTCTGGCGACCAGGTCCAGGCTTCGCCCTCCCTCGCCCCCCCTCCCCCACTCACATCCCAGATTCCAGACCCTTGGCCCCTCCCCTTCCATGTGCCAGACTGGCTCCCGCCCACCCCCAGACCCCCTTCTGTCCTGCGACTACCGAAACCTACCTACTGGCCATGACCCCTGATTTCCACCTGCCAAGTCAGTGCCCCCTCCCAAAATCGCCCCTTCCCTCTCTCCTGCCACCCCTTTGCTCGGTCCCCCAAACTTTCCTTCCCTCCCTCGCCCTGCCCAGGCTCTGCTCTCACACATTGCCCCCTGCACGGTTCATCTCTCAGCCCTTCCCCTAGTGGGGTCCCCAGACCTTGTCCTGATCTCGACACTCAGGCCCCGCCCTCGCCTTCAATCTACCGACTCTGAACTCCTTACGCCTCTGCCTCCCGCCCATCCTGGCTCGGGTTTAAGCTTGGCTCCACCCCTGCCCTCCCCATTTCCCGCGACTGCGGGGGGGTGGGGGGTGGGGGGGTGGTGTCTGCCCCAGTTTCAGCCTCCCGGTTTGTGCCCCAGACGTGGACGAGTGCCGCCGCGTGCCGCCGCCCTGTGACCGTGGGCGCTGTGAAAACACGCCAGGCAGCTTCCTGTGCGTGTGCCCTGCTGGGTACCAGGCTGCACCCCACGGAGCAGGCTGCCAAGGTGAAGAACTGGAAGGGGCAGAGAGGAAGGGGATGTGAGGGGGCGGAAGGGCAGAGCGGCAGTGATGAGGAAGGAAGACACATAGCAATGGAGCTGACTGATGGGAGACAGAAGCCAGGTTCTGAGAACCAGACGTGCAGCCTGTGGCTGTAGAGACAGTGACACAGGGACAGAGAGGCCAAGTGGTGGGAAACAACGACTGAGTCATGGAGGTTGGATGCGTCAGTTATGGGGGACAGAGCAGAGGGAGGCCCACGCTGGTGGGGACTAGAAAGACGGTTCTAGGTGACAGACAGGCAGCTTAGAATAGGGATGGAAAAGATACGTGGAGGATGAAGAGTTAGAATGATGAGAGGGTGGCTGAAGGATGGAGTCAAGGAGAAAGAGTGATGGAGGATGGCGCGGTGTGGTGGAGGGTGGAACATCAAAGCAGTGGCAGTCAGGGAGGCAGAGGGTAGCATGGGGGGCATAACGGAGGTATGACACCGGTCCTTGCCCTCTCAGATGTGGACGAATGCATCCAGAGTCCTGGCCTCTGTGGCCGAGGTGCCTGTGAGAACCTGCCTGGCTCTTTCCGCTGTGTTTGCCCGGCTGGCTTCCGGGGCTCAGCGTGTGAAGAGGATGTGGATGAGTGTGCCCAGGAGCCTCCACCCTGTGGGCCAGGCCGCTGTGACAACACCGCGGGCTCCTATCACTGCGCCTGCCCTGCTGGCTTCAGATCCCGAGGGCCAGGGGCCCCCTGCCAAGGTGAGGGTGCCGAGTCCAAGTGCACTCCACCCCCATTTGCTGGGGGACTGGAGAGAGACATGATTGGGGGCGAGCACAGAGAGACAGGGTTATGGAGCTCAGTGGTGGAAGACAGACACAGAAGGGTGGGGGAGACTGAGAGGATGAGAGGGTCTGATTACAGAGTCTCCTCTTCTTTCTCCAAATAGGAAGCTGTTGTCCATTTTACATCCCTTTTTGTTTTTATTTTTTGTGGCGGGGGGGGGGGGTGGTGGTAATTTTTCTTTTTTTTAATATACTTTTTTTTTTGTAGTTTCAGAGAGGAAGGGAGAGGGAGAGGTAGACACATCAATGATGAGAATCATTGATCCGGTTGCCTCCCACAAGCTGAGTCTGCAACCTAGGCATGTGCCCTGACCAGGAATCAAACCAAGACCTCCTGGTTCATAGGTCGACGCTCAGCCACTGAGCCACACCGGCTGGGCTTTCCCTCCCTCTTCAGACGATACTCTTTTGCTTGTGGGACTCCTGAGGAGGGGACAGCTCTGAGGCAGGAGGGCCACATGCAGAGGTGGTGTCCAGGCCTTGCCCTGGCAGCTGTGGAGGGACCATTAAACAAGGGAGGAGGGAACAGCCTGGGCAAAGTCCAGGAGGCTGTCTCCAGACTGCAACGCTGAGGCTGAGGTGGGTGATGGCAATGGAAATGGGTCCAGGCTCCTTCCTCAGCCCCACTGGTCCCCTCTGCCCCAGATGTGGATGAATGTGCCCGTAGCCCCCAGCCCTGTGCTTATGGACGATGTGAGAACACAGAAGGCAGCTTCCAGTGCGTCTGCCCAACAGGCTTTCAACCCAGCCCTGCTGGCTCTGAGTGCGAGGGTGAGGCCCCGGAGAGAGGGAGGGAGGCCTGGGTGAGGGGGAGGGGGGGCGGTGAGGGGGCTGTGAGAGCACTCCTTCAAGGCCATACTCTCCCCTGTCCTTCAGATGTTGATGAGTGTGAGAACCACCTGGCGTGTCCTGGGCAGGAATGTGTGAACTCACCTGGCTCCTTCCAGTGCAGGGCTTGTCCTGCCGGCTACCACCTGCACCGTGGCCGATGTACTGGTAAGATCAGGTTATGACCTTGGACATGCAGTGTAACTTCTGACCTAGATGGTGACCCCTGTCCTGGACTGCAACCCAGACCTGGTCCATAACCTCCTGACCTGGACCTCAGTTTCCTTACCCGAACCACACGTCCCAGAGCCCGACTGTGACTTTTAACATAGACTATGGGCCCTGACTCAGACTGCAGTTCCTGACCTGGACTACAACCTTTGACCCTGAATGTGACTTCTTACTCTATGACTCGTAGACCTTAAACTTGACATTTGACCCTAACCATGATCCTTGCTAATAACCCCTTACCACAACTCTATAGCAAATGTGACCCTCCTGACGCTGCCTGTCCTTATGGTCACAAGTTCTGTATGTGACTTGTGACCCCTGAACTTGACTTTGACATTTGACCTAACCATAACTCCTGACCATAACCCTGCTACAACCCCTGATTCTGTGTAACCCTTGATACTCTCTCTTTCACTGCCCCTGTCTCTTCTCAGAGTCCCTTCCCTGGGGCCTGACTGGGTTCACATCCCCAGCCCCAACCCCTGACTAGAGGCAGAACTCTGGACCCTGACTGTAACACCTGACCCTAACTGGTCTCAGACCCTCCAATTCACTGGCCCTGACCCCTGACTCATCAGATGTCATCCAGTGATCCTGGTTTACAATACCCGACCCCTTACCCTAATTAATTTATGACCCTTGTACCAGTGCAGAGTCCCTTCACCTGACCCCAGAATCCTGGCACAGGGAGTTCCAAAAACCCAAACCCGCAGAACCCCCAATCATGGTCCCCAGAATCAGAGAACCCGGGTCTCCCCAGCCCACCTCTGCCATGGAGCCTTCCCATATCCAAACCAAGACACTGCCCACCACCTCTTGTAGACCCCTTGCCCCAACGGAATCCGTCCGGTGTGTCTCTAGACTAGACCCCTTCTTTCTTTTTAAAAAATCTTTATTGTTGAAAGTATTACATGGGTCCCCCTTTATTCTGGACCCTTCTGGAACCCCCATTCCCACAGATGTGGACGAATGCAGTTCGGGCTCCTCCTGCGGCCCCCATGGCCACTGCACTAACACCGAAGGCTCCTTCCACTGCAGCTGCGCGCCTGGCTACCGGGCGCCGCCTGGCCGGCCTGGGCCCTGCGCAGGTGGGCAGGATGGGGCCAGGGCCGGAGAGCCTGGGATGGGCATGGGTTCCTGGGCGAGGCCTGTTGGAGAGTTGGAAGCTGGATAGAGGAGCAGTGGATGGAGCCTAAGAGCCCACCCAACAGAGCATGCGGCTTGGGGGCGAGGTGGCCGCCTTGTGGGCGGGGCTTGGGTCTCAGGGGCGGGTCCGGTGACCCCCAGCTCGGTCTCGCACACCCTAGACGTGAACGAGTGCCTGGAGGGCGACTTTTGCTTCCCCCACGGCGAATGCCTCAACACCGACGGCTCCTATGCCTGTACCTGTGCCCCCGGCTACCGGCCCGGACCCCGCGGAGCCTCTTGCCTCGGTCTGTACCCACGCTGCGCCCAGACCCGGAAAGGGTGGTCTTATACCAGGAAAAGGCAGGACAAGGAATGGGGAGTCTGAATTCTGGATGGAGTCTGGACGCATTTTGGGGGCGGAGCCTGTGGGGCCCGGGGCTGAGGTGGGAGGGGAGGGGTTGGGAGAGGACAGGGGAGAGCAGAGTCTGGGCAGCTGGGCAGTGGTTGGAAAGGAATGGGCCTAACCCCGTCGGAGGGGTGGGGCTTGGGAAGGGAGGAGCCCAAGACTGGCGGGAGCGGGAGCGGGCTGTGGAGGGGCATGGCCCGGGAGAGGGAGCGGAGGAGGAGGTGGGTCGGGTTTTGGATTCTGTCCCGCAGACGTGGACGAATGCAGCGAGGAGGACCTCTGCCAGAGCGGCATCTGTACCAACACCGACGGCTCCTTCGAGTGCGTCTGTCCTCCGGGGCACCGCGCCAGCCCCGACCTCGCCTCCTGCCTCGGTGAGAGGCCTGCGCGGCCCGTCCCCCTCTCTCCCTCTGCCTCCGGTCTCCCTCCTCTGTCCTCTTCTCTTGCCCTCTTCTCCGCGTCCCCGCGTCCCCGCCCTGACTGCCATCTCTCCTCGATCCCCCCCCCCCCCCCCCCCCGTATTTCCTCCTTTGCCTCCCTGCCTCCCCGCTTCCCCGTCTGATCGCCCTGCCTCACCTCCCAGACGTGGATGAATGTCGAGAGCGGGGCCCGGCCCTCTGCGGCTCCCAGCGTTGTGAGAATTCCCCCGGCTCCTACCGCTGCGTCCGGGACTGCGACCCTGGCTACAACGCGGGCCCTGAGGGCACCTGTGACGGTGAGACTCCTGCCCTCGCCCTGAAGTTACTGGAGTTGGGGACCGCCTGCCTCACAGATTGTGGGGAGGGAAAGGGCCCCAACCAATGCACTTAATTCTCTCCCCATTTCTGCTGGAAATTAATTTCTTTCTCCCTTTCTTTCTTTCTTTCTTTCTTTCTTTCTTTCTTTCTTTCTTTCTTTCTCTCGTCTCTCTTTATTGATTTCAGAGAAGAAAGTAGAGAAAGAGAAAGACAGAGATAGACACATCAATGAAGAGAGAGAATCATTGATTGGCTGCCTTCTGCATGCCCCCCACTGCAACCGGAGCATGTGCCCTGACTAGGAACCCAGCTGTGACCTCCCAGTTCATAGGTCCATGCTCAATCACTGAGCCACACCAGCTGGGCTATTTTTTTCTTTAAACATTTTTAATTTGTCAATTACAGTTGATATTCAATATTATTTTAATTAAAAAATCCTAGTGCCACCTGGCCGGCGTGGCTCAGTGGTTGACTTGTGAACCAGGAGGTCACAGTTCGATTACTCCAAGTCAGGGCACATGCCTGGGTTGTGGGCTCCATCCCCAGTGTGGGGTGTGCAGGAGGCAGCCAATCAATGATTCTCTCTCATCACTGATGTTTCTCTCTCTCTCTCTCTGAAGTCAATAAAAAAATATATTTAAAATATTTTAAAAAAATCTTAGTGTCTTGTATTTTCTTGTGGAGGGAGGTGGGAGTTTGGGTGAAGTCACTACTATCAGGACCCAGGCCAAGCCTTGCTTCCAGAAGCAGCCCGTGCCCCCTCTGCCGGTTGAGTTATCCCAGCAAGTCATCTCCTAACCCAAGAACAGTTAGCCTCTCCCCCTTTCTCATTGGATTAAAACTCCCTGTTTTTCCCTCTTCAGGCTCCCTCTCTTTGGACCTGCCCTCTCCCCACCCGCCACCACTCACTCTGCTTCCAGCTGTCCCTCCAAAGAGGTGCAACCCTGGTTGTTCTGGGCCCCATCCTTTCCCAATGCCAAATTCCCCAGATTTCTCCAAGCACTGACCCTGCCCACTTAAAATCCACCCCTTAAAGTGTTGTTTGTCTCTCCAGATATGGTCCTTTGTCTTTCCTCAGACTTCTCCAGGCCTTGGGAACTACAGGTCTATACCTTCCAGTCTCTGTTCCACCTTCACACTACCCCTTTCCTACTCTTCTCATTTTCTATGCCTTCCTACCCCTCCATGCCCCCACCTCACCCCTCACCTTCCAGTCCCCCTGCCCCATTCTCCCAGCAGGCTCTGGCAGGGTACTGGTGGAGACAGGAGGCTAGGACTAATCTAAGTCATTGTTTTGGATGGAGTGTGGATCAGCATTTTGTGGAACAGATGAAATGACTGTGGGATGCCTTTGGCTCTCTGGTTGCCACAGCTCTGGCTCATAGAAACCTAGTTTCAGGGGCTCTCATTCACTAATTCTACAAGAATATACTGAGCACCTGCTGTGTGCCAGACACTGGGGGGCAACAGGCTGTAAGTCAAACAAAATTCCTGCCTTAATGGAGCTGCTACGTGGGGGGGGGGGGGGGGGGGGATAGACAATAAGTATGTAAATTATTTAAAAACTCACTCAGTAAACAATTTGGGGCACCTACTGTATGTTAGGTACTGTTCTATGCCCTGGGAATACAGTGGGGAACAAGACAGACACAAGTCCATGCTGTTGTGGGGTTTGCATTCTAGGGGGGTGGTTATAATACAGTGTCAAGTTTAAGAAGAAAAATGTAGCAGAACAAATGGACAGAGACGACAGGGCAGTGGGGGAGCGAGTGCTAGGAGGCCTTGGCCTAGACACTTGAGTGAAGTGAAGGAGGACGCCATGCAGGTAGCTGAGGGAAAAGTGTTCCTGACAGAGGAACAGCACGTGCAAAAGCCTGAGGTGGAACCATGTTCCAGGCCTTTGGAGTTATTACCACTGTCAATCTTAAGAAGCTCAGACTCCTAGAATATAAGATTCCTAGAAACTTCTCAGTCCTGAGAACTGAAAGTGGCGTCAGGAACCTGTGAATCCAGGCCTATAACTCCCCTCTCCTCCCCTCACCCTGCCCCGCTCTTGCAGATGTGGACGAGTGCCAAGAATACGGCCCGGCAATTTGTGGAGCCCAGCGCTGTGAAAATACCCCCGGCTCCTACCGCTGCACGCCTACCTGTGACCCTGGCTACCAGCCCATGCCTGGGGGCGGATGCCAGGGTGGGTGTGCTTCGGGCATTGGGTGAGCTGTGGAGGAGATAGAAGGTCCAGCAATGGTCTAACTGTCTGCTGGTTGCAGATGTGGATGAATGCCGGAACCGGTCCTTCTGCGGGGCCCATGCCGTTTGCCAGAACCTGCCTGGCTCCTTCCAGTGCCTCTGTGACCAGGGCTACGAGGGGGCACGGGATGGGCGTCACTGCGTGGGTACGGGGCTCTAGGGGGTGGGTGGGACCAGAGGGTGGGGAAGAGGTCGGTCAGGCCCAGCCCCTCTCCATAGATTTGCACTATGTGAACTTTGGGGATATGGAATTTAGACCTTGGGATATTAGATCCATCTTCAGGAAACCCTCTTTATTCAGATTTTATGTGGGGGATGCTTAAAAAAAATCATGCATAAATTATGTAAAATGCACTAATCTTAAATGTACATAAACATTATTTTCCCCAACTTTTTTTTTTTTTGGAGAGAGAGAGAGAGATGTGAGAGAGAAACATCAATAGGTTGTTTCCTGTATGGATCAGGGATCAAACCTGCAACCTAGGTAAGTGCCCTGACCAGGGATAGACCCTGCCACCTTTTGGTGTATAGGATGACGCTCCAACCAACGGAGCCACCGGGCCAGGCTTCCCAACATTTTATGAAGACACTTTCTAAACATACAGCCTGACCTATATTCTGCCATTTTATTACACGTGCTTCCTCAAACCTCTATCCATGAATACAACTAATTGTTTGGATAGATTTAAAATTAAATTACAGGCATCAATACACTTATTTCTAAATTCTTCAGTATGCATATTATTAACCAGAGTTTAATATGTGTGTATAGACATTTTCATTTGTGGTTCAATTTACATACAGTGAAATGCATGAATTTTAAGTATACATTCTCTAAGTTTTGACAGATGCCAACACAACAGGCTGCCTTTCTTTAAAGGGAATTAACCCTGTGAAGTCCTGGGATATATTTGAACTTCAGGCATACCTGCACCCAGGAACTATCACAAGGCTGACTGTCTCCTCTCTCGGCTCTGCTTCCCTCTGTTGCATTTATTTGTAGGCAGACTCTCTCTTCACGATGACAAAGGTGGTCTCAGCACCTCTAGCTAACATCCTCATCTTGACAGCCCTAGCTACAGACAGAGGCTCTTTCTTGATATTTTCAGCCAAAGTCGCAGGACTGGCTTTGATTGGCCCGGCTTAGGCACTGCCTGTCTCTGAACCAGAGGAACACAGCAATCTGGTGGCAGTGCCTGGGACTTGTCCCCACTCCTAGGAGTAGATGTAGCCCCACTCGAAACACATGGACTGGAAGTAGAGGAGCAGAAGTCTCCCAATGGAATTTCGGGGTTTATCACCAGAGGAGAAGTTGATGATGGGGGCTGGGCCATTAACAATACCAGTTATATCTGAAAGCTCAGACTTTTAGACCTTTGGAATCAGAGTTGACCACCACTGACTTCCTCTCCCCTATTGTCTTCTGCTCACAGATGTGAATGAATGTGAAACACTACAGGGCGTGTGCGGAGCTGCCCTGTGCGAGAATGTGGAGGGCTCCTTCCTCTGCGTCTGCCCCACCAGTCCTGAGGAGTTTGACCCCATGACTGGGCGCTGTGTTCCCCCACGGGCTTCTGCTGGTGAGCCTGACCTCAGTGCCTATTTAACTGATGGCTGCTTGCCCCACAGAAAAATGATGTGGTTTAACCCTTCCTGAGGTGGACGGCTGCCACTAGTTAAATGCCTTTGTTTTAAACAACAAAAAACTTCAGAACTTTTGGGTTAATCTGGGTAGTGGGATTCAGAGTCAGGAGAACTGGAGCCTGCCCGGCCGACTTTACCAGCTTCCTTCAGCCAGCAACTGTTCATAGGGCATCCGTCGTGTTCAGTCCCTGTTCTGGGCACTGGGGACACAGCGGTGACCAGAGAAGATCACTCTGTCTTGGAGAGACTCACACAGTGGGGGCAGGCAGAGGCAACACTAGGGGTGACAACCCAGAGGAATCGCTGGGCTGAGGCAATGCAGGCCCGAGGGGACAGCCCGTCTCCAGGAAGGCGACTGGGCTCTGGGCCCCAGAGGAAGGGCCTGTCAGCCTGAGAGGAGAGTTAGGGAGGGCCCCCTGTCGGAGGGATTCTGAACTGAGCATTAGGATGAGTAGTGGGTGAAGTAGGGGAGGGTGACGTTTGGGGCAGAGAGAGCAAGGACAAAGGCAAAGGTCTGGCCAGGCAAGAGAGGGCCTGGCATGTTGGAGGAGCTGAAGTAAGTTCAGGGAGGCAGGATTGACAGAGCCAGAGGAGGAGTGGGGAGAGAGGCTGCAGAAGGAGGCTGGTGCCAGGCCACACTGACTCACCGCGGTCAGGAGGCTAGACATGTCCCGAGGTTACCCCGGCACCGCGGACGGGTTTGGAGCCGAGGGGAGGTACAATCAGATTTTGAAGCCTCATTGGCAGCCATGTGAAGGTGGGTTGGAGGAGGTGACCCTGGGTTCTGGGGGGCAGGGACTGGGCAGAGAGGACAGGACTAGACCAAAGCAGCCCCGCTCTACCCAACCAAAGGAGGGGAAGAGAGGGCAGGTGGGAGAACACGCAAGAGGCCAAGCAGACAAGCGGTGGGGCTTCCTGGGTTTGGGGGTGAAGACTCTGAGGCCAGTTTGCACACCTCCGATGTGAGAGCCCAAGGAGGTATCTTGGAGGTCAGGGAAATCCGCTCTTCTGCTACGAAAACTGCAGGTGCCATATTGTGCCAGACGTCTGGGAGAGTGTGAGGTGGGAAGGCAAGAAGTGGAGAAATGACAGGAGGTGAGAATAGGAGAAACGGACAATGACAGTGGAGTCTAGTTCTGCCACTAATGGCTGGGAGCCCTTTGGGCCTTAGTTTCCCCACTTATATCCTGGGGGCTGGAGGATCAGCCCACACCAGCTAAGCCTCTTGTCTCTCCAGGCACATTCCCAGGCTCACAGCCCCAAGCACCTGCCAGCCCCGGCCTGCCAGACAGACCACCCCCTCCACCCCCTCCCCGCCGGCCCAGCCCACCCAGGCAGGGACCGGTGGGCAGCGGCCGCCGGGAGTGCTACTTTGACACAGCAGCTCCAGATGCCTGTGACAACATCCTGGCTCGGAACGTGACGTGGCAGGAGTGCTGCTGCACCGTGGGGGAGGGCTGGGGCAGCGGCTGCCGCATCCAGCAGTGCCCGGGCACTGAGACAGGTGGGCATGGGCTCCTGGTGGACAAGGGGCTGAGGGTCTGGGTGGTGTGCGTGAGGCTGAGAGGTGGGCACAAACAAGCATGAGGGCTGAAGACTTCGGGGTGAAAGGTGGGCATCGGCCGGAGTGAGCACTGAGGCTGTGGGTGTGAGCAGGGCCGGGCGGGGCTGGAAGCGGGAGTCTGGGCTTAGCCTTGTCTCTGTGTGCAGCTGAGTACCAGTCACTGTGTCCCCATGGCAGGGGCTACCTGGCGCCCAGCGGAGACCCAAGCCACCGGAGAGGTGAGGCCAGGCTTTAAGTCCCACCCACCTTCAGCCCCCAGGCCAGCTCCCTCCCACCCAGCCTGTTTCCTTCATCTCCCTCTCTCACCCTACCTGTTTCTGTCTCCCCCCCCCCCACCCCACCCCCATCTCTCTCTGTCTCCCACTTTCCCTATCTCTACCTCTGGGGCTCTATCTCCATCTCTGTCTCTCTTCCCTGATTTAACCACACCGCCTCCCGCTCCCAATCCAGCCCACCCAATCCCTGGCCTCCACCCATCTCTCTCTTGGGGGGCGGGGGGGGGGGGCGCCTCTGACCATCCTTCCCGCAGATGTGGATGAGTGCCAGCTGTTCCGAGATCAGGTGTGCAAAAACGGTGTGTGCGTGAACACGGCCCCGGGCTACTCCTGCTATTGTAGCAACGGCTACTACTACCTCGCCCAGCGACTGGAGTGTGTCGGTACGAGCCCACCCGCACCATCCCCACCCACACCATCCCCAAAGAACTCCCCCCAGCCCCACCGCCTCGGAACCGGGCCGCCGCCAGTAGAAAGTCTCCCCGGAGTCCAGACTCCATCGCTGCCAATGCCCTGGGGAAGCGGGAAAGGGTGGAGGCTGCTGCTTAGCCACTCTCCCTCCCCCGCCGCCCCAGACAACGACGAGTGCGCGGACGAGGAGCCGGCGTGTGAGGGGGGCCGCTGCGTCAACACCGTGGGCTCTTATCACTGCACGTGCGAGCCCCCGCTGGTGCTGGACGGTTCGCGGCGCCGCTGCGTCTCCAACGAGAGCCAGAGCCTCGGTAACCCGACCTGGAGCCCGCCCCGCCCGCCCAGCTGCCCTGCCCCCTGAGTCCGGGCATCCTTCTTGCCCGTTGCGTGAATGGCAGTGGCCCTGCCTGCTAAGACAGTTGTGAAGAATTTTATTTTTAAGGACAGAGCAGGGCCTGGTCTGAGTGCTAGAGGCGCGTTCCCTGTTATTTCCCTGTGCATCTCTGACTCTGACACTTTCTGGGACTATCATTGTTTCTAGGTCTGTTTCTGGGTCTCTCTCTCTGCCTCTTTGCTGACCCATTTTTCTTAGAATCTCTGACTGTGTGGATGTGTTTGTCTCTATCTCTTTGGGTTCTTTCTTTCTCCTTTTTTACCCACGGACCCAAACTCTGGTCCTACAACATCCTCAAACACTTCATTCAAACAACGCTCAGAGAGGGAAATCACCTTCCTCAAGGTCACACAGCCCCCCAGAGGCCAGACTTGGATAGAGTCCTCTCAGCTTCTAGCTCCCAGTCATGGGAAGCCCTCTGCTCTCGCTGCCTATATGACAGCCTCATGCCAGACCACGCCCTGTTCTCAATTCAGAACTTTGGAACACCTCAAAGGGCTTCTGGGAGTCAGACCACAGCCGATGAGGATTTGGTGATAGGCAGAGGTGGCCGGCTGCTCCAGCAGGAGAGGTGGCCGAGTGTCAGTCCCACCCTGATGCATGCTGTCTCTGCCCTCAGATGACAACCTGGGAGTGTGCTGGCAGGAAGTGGGGGCTGACCTCGTGTGCAGCCGCCCTCGGCTGGACCGCCAGGCCACGTACACAGAGTGCTGCTGCCTCTACGGGGAGGCCTGGGGCATGGATTGTGCCCTCTGCCCTGCCCAGGACTCAGGTACTGCCACCTGCCTTGGCCACACTCAGAGGTCCTGCCCCACAGGCTTCAAATCCAGACCCTTAGAGCTCTTAGTGTTAGCCTACCAGATCTCCCCAAATTCAGCCCCTCGGACCCCTAAACCTTGGTGCCGTAGTCCCCAAGTCATATCCCGGAGACCTCCCAGTCTTATCAGCAGGTCCCGTAGGGCCCTGAGGTCTGGTCTCCCTGACCCTCACTCCTGGTCCCCAGAACAGCCCATGAGACGCCCCTCCCCCACATCCAGGCCTTAGACCTCCAGTACCAGGTGCTCAGGTCCGTCCATCCTGGCCCACAAGCTCTCTGGTCATAACCCACAGGCCTCCAAGTTCCAGTGCCTTGGATACACATATCCAAGCACTGAGACCCCAACACACAGCCCCAGAGGCCCCAGTTCTTGGCTCTTAAAACCCTTGATTCCCCCAATGCTCAGCCCTTGGGAACCCAGCCCAGCCCCAGGCCCAAAGCCCCCATCCTTGATCCTCGGACCTCCAGGTCTGTGGCTTAGATCCTCTCCCAAGCATCCTGGCCCCCAGATCCCCACTAGCAGTTTCTGGGAATTCCCAGTCCTGGTCCCTAAAACACCAGCATCCCATATCTGTAGACCCCTAGCCTGAGTTCCCATGGATCCCCCAAATTCCAGAACATTGGACCATAATTTCTAGCTGCAGTCCTTAGTACTTCTGCCCCAGCACCTTGGAATCCTAGACTCAGGCCTTGGACCCTCAGTCCTGGCTCCAGAACCCCTGACCCCACCCTGCAAGCCAAGTCCCCTCCTCTGAATCCCCTTCCACACCTCAGCCCAAGGCACTCCTCCCTCTCCTCTGGGTTCTTCCCACAGGGGCGGAGGGGGGGCGGGGGGGGGGGCATGCATGGTGGGTGCAAGGCAAGCAAGGAATGACGGTTAGGCTTGTCTCCTGTTTACAGATGACTTTGAGGCCCTGTGCAATGTGCTGCGCCCCCCTGCCTATGGCCCCCCACGGCCAGGTGGCTTTGGACTCCCCTACGAGTATGGTCCAGACCTCGGTCCACCTTACCAGGGCCTTCCATATGGGCCTGAGCTGTACCCACCACCTGTGCTACCCTATGACCCCTACCCACCACCACCTGGGCCCTTCGCCCGCCGGGAGGCCCCCTATGGGATGCCACCCTTCGACATACCGGACTTTGAGGATGATGGTGGTCCCTATGGTGGATCTGAGCCTCCTGCTCCACCTGGACCCGGCACCCGCTGGCGCTATCGGTCCCGAGACACCCGTGGCTCCTTCCCAGAGCCCGAGGAGCCACGTGAAGGCGTGGGCTACACTGGTGAGCACTGCAGGCCCATGGGACGCAGAGGACTGAACTGTGCAGATATGGAGTCAGGGAGGAGGGAAGGAGAGAGATGCAGAAATGAAGAAGCCAGGGGGAGAGACAGGCACAGAGAGATATGAAAAGACAGATGCAGTCGGAGAAAACAGAGATAGACCTGTAAACCCACCAAGAAAGGTGAGGACAGAGGGAAAGCTAGTGAACACAGCCAGATACACTTCCTGGCCCCACAGCGCCCCCTGGAGAAGGATGGATGGTTCAGGAAGGAACATAGAGAGCAGCCAGGGGCGATGAGGGAGAGAAGGCACAGCCCCTGAATGAGGGAGTCCTCGCACTGTCCTCCGCAGGCGCCCTGGCTGGGCCCTCCGAGGGGCTGGAGGCGGAGGAGTGTGGGATCCTGGACGGCTGTGCCCACGGCCGCTGCGTGCGGGTCCCCGAGGGCTTCACCTGCGACTGCTTCGATGGCTACCGCCTGGACATGACCCGCATGGCCTGCGTTGGTGAGGGGCTGGCCACGGCCGTGCCTGGGGATCGGGTGGAAGCCCTGACGACAGGTGGGAGCTTGGTGCCGGCGAGGGGAGGGACCAGCCCAGAAGGCGCAGCCTGACTTGCAGGAAAGCAGAGCTTGGCCTCCCTGCCGGGCTGGGCCGGAAGCCGGTAGGAGGGTGGAATCCTGCAGGTGTGATTCTAAGGACTCCTCGTGCTGCCTTGGGTTAGTTTTCATTATCTCTTTGGGGAGCTTCAGGCTTCCCATCTGCCAAGTGGGAGTGGGAACCATGTTTGCCCAATTGAGAGAGTAGTAGCTCAGGACTCAGGGGGAGTGGAGAGACCTCCGGCTTGCTGTGTGACCTGCCCTTGCTAAGTTTTTCTCATCTCAAGTGGCCGTAGTCATAGAACTTCAAGTAATTGTGAGCATCATTAATACTGATTTACAACGACACCGAGGCTGGTGCGTAAACTGAGGCTCAGAAAAGAGAATTGAGTTCCCCAAGGTCCCACAGCGGAGAAACAGCGGGCCCGGGCGGAGAGCCACTGAGCAGCCTGCAGGGACGGGGGGGGGGGGTGGGGGGTGGGGGGGTGGTAGGGGATGGGGCGGGGGGCTTATGTAAAAGGGAGTCACAGGCCTTCACAGGGGCCGGGAGGAGGCAGTTACCGCAGGTAGCGTGCTTAACGCAGGCCTGGTTTGGAGGAGGCAGTGACCGTGGTTGATATCAGTATTACTTTCCTAACAAAAACCTAGTGACGTGGGGCTACCGTACCCATCCTACAGCGCAGAGCTGAGGCACAGGAAGTCCCGCCACCTGTGCAGGCTACACAGCCACAGGCGGCGTGGCCAGGCTGGCGCTCGGCCAGGAGGCTCTGCGCGCACCCTCGCCCCGGAGCTCCCAGTCCCCGCCCGAGTAGCAGCGCCCCTTGTGCCCCTTCCCCAGACGTGAACGAGTGTGACGAGGCGGAGGCGGCGGCTTCATTCTGCGTCAACGCGCGCTGCATCAACACCGACGGCTCCTTCCGCTGCGTCTGCCGCCCGGGATTCGCACCCACGCACCAGCCGCACCACTGCGCGCCCGCCCGCCCCCGGGCCTGAGCCCGCAGCGCCGTCCCCGCGCCTGCCCGCTGGTGCGCGTGCGCTCACGGAAGCCGGACAGAGGGACGACTTACGGACGGATGGAAGTGGGGACGCCTCTTGCACCCCCAGCCCCTCTACCGACGCCGCCCCACGGCCCCCCTCATATTTCCGCTCCTTTTATAAACGTTTTCAGTTTTAAACACCTACTTCGTACCTGCTGCCTCTGTCTGCCCACGATTCTCAGTCTGGCCCCAGAGTTTGTTCTTTGAGCCGCTGGGTTACACCCCTGCCCATCCCGGCTCCTTGGCTCTTCATTCCCGCGCCCCCGTCGCGTATTCTACCTGTCTCTCTCCTCCGTCTGTCTCTCTCTTTGTTCTATCTTCTCTGTCTCCTTTCTGCTACATTTTCTCTGCCTGATTCTTTTAGTCTCTTTTTGTCTTTCTCTCCCCCCCCTCCCCCCCCCCCCCGGTCTGTTTCATTCTCTCTAATCTCGGTTTAGATCTTGCCTCTGGATTTTTAACTACAGAACCGACTCCCCCAATAAATACCGCAGGAGCTGTCTCTTCCCCCTCCCGGGAAGGAATGGGATGGAGTAGCCAGCCAGAGGGCTCCCCAGATCCCCACGCTCCCCAGAGAAGTAAAAGGCTACTCTGGGACTAGGGGGACGTGGGGGCAGGGCTGCCTGGAGGGGTAAACCCAGGCCCGGGCGCCAGCGTTGGCTGTGAAAAGCAGCAAGTGGCAGTCCTGGGGAGGCTGGAATGAGCTGCGCGTGAGGATCGAGTACCCAGCAGGGAGTCCCCAGTGCCGCCGCCTACTTCCTGGCCATGTCGAGAGTCCAAAATACACCCCCCAAAAAAGAACATAAAACAGCCTGTTGGGCATTATCTCAGGGGACAGAGGACGGTCAGGAGTGGGGGCTCCTTGGCACTGAACTGCGTCTTCTCCACCCACCTGTTACTGTCAGGGTCTCAAGCGCAAATGCTCATGGGACCAGGTGAATGAGGTAGAGCGTGCAAGATAAGGCAGGTGCAGGATAAAGGGGAGGGTCCACGACCTGCTTAAGGGAGCGAAACAGAGAGGGAAGTCTCCTGATTCAAAATAATCTTTTTTATAACCACCTTGTGGGCCATATCTGGCCCATGAGCCATCAGTTTTAATCTCCCAGGTACAGCTCAAGTTGTGTGATGGCGGACAGGGACTCCTTGCCCAGACCCCTGTGCACCTCCAGCGCTTCAGGAGGAGTGGCGCTCCCACGGGGCCACCTGGAGGATGCTAGCATAGGGCCTAGTCTACAGGCTGTTGGTGGTTAAAGGAATCGTCCCCTGTGGCCAGTGCTTAGCACTGCACTTGGCACATAGCAAGGGCTCAGTGACTGTTAGCACAGACCCCGGCCTCCAGGGAAATGGTGAGCCCTGGGAGGTGGGGGGCAGATAGAAAGGGCAGATGGCTAGGTCCTGTTCTTTTCCTGATCCTCCTGGCTGGGGAGGAGCCAGACTCTATCCCCTTCAATGCAGTGGTTCTCAACCTGTGGGTCGAGACCCCTTTGAGGGTCAAATGACCCTTTCCCAGGGGTCGCCTAAGACCATCGGAAAACACATATATAATTACATATTGTTTTTGTGATTACTCACTATGCTTTATGTTAAATTTATAACAATGAAATTGGGGGTCACCACAACATGAGGAACTGTCTTAAAGGGTCGCGGCATTAGGAAGGCTGAGAACCACTGCCTTCAATGGGACAGTGAGAAACACCTAGCACAGGGGCCCTGGGGGGGAGGGAGTCAGACTCGGAGGGGCTCAGATCTCCACAAAGGGGCGATTACTGCACACCTCTACTAAAACCACTGAACTGCACTCTGTACATGAGTGAGCTGTATGGTATGTAAAGTATAGCTCAACAAAACCATTGAAAAGAAAAAGAAAACTCTAGAAAAAGGTGTCAGAAAGCGACCCTCCAGCTGATCAGGGAACCTGGCCCAAACATTGACCCCTCAGTCATTCATTCAACAAATTTTCTCTATATCTGCTCTGTAATAAGTGAGTGTTTGGAACACAAACTTTAAATCAACCTTGGGGGTAAGAGCTGGGAGGGCTCTTGGTGGGGAGATATCTGAGCTGAAACCTGAAGGTGTGCGAAAATGAGCCAGATGAAGTCGTGGAGGAGGGTGTTCCAGGTGGAGGGAACAGCATCTGCAAAGGCCCAGAGGTAAGGAAGGCAGGTATCTTTAAATATCTTTTTTTTTTTCTTTTGGCATGTCAGTGCCTGTGTTGGGCAGTGCTGGTGACATTTTTGGTGCATCCCTAATCCCTGGTCCCTGCTTTCATGAAGCTTCAGTAGCGACATAGACACATCACCAGACATGACCATCTGTGCTCAGACGGGGAAGGCACAAGCAGAGCGTCAGGGCGGGATGGGGACGATGGGAGGAGGCACCTGACCCAGTCTGAGAGAACATCAGGGAAGGCTTCCTGGAGAAAGAGATGGAGTTCCAAACAGTTATTGAGGTTTTAGATCCCTTTGAAAATCTGTGGAAAGCTCTGGACATTCACAGAAGAAAATACACAAACATTGTAAGCAAATTCCCAAACATTCCCATGGCGGGCATCCCATGACCCCCTGGCTGTATAAATGTCCCAGGAATGGGGACAGGGTGGCCAACAGTGCAGGAAAACTTTGAGGTGGAATTTAAGCATCCTGGGAGTGGGCTGGGGAGAGGTTTTGAGAACCCAACATCCCTCTCACCCCCACTGGACCTGGTGGCTGTGCCAAGGATCTGGCTTTTATCATGCCTTCCCCGCCGTGCCCCCCCCCCCCCCCAATACACACATCTCCAACCCCGGTGCGGTAGGGCCCTTGGAATGTCCAGAGGGAAACAAACAGTCCAGGAAGTCACCACGATTGCAGCACATGCGCCACAGCTCCGCTGCCGGTCATCTCAAGCCGCCCGCAAGCCCCAGTGGCTGATGCGTAATCATCAGCGAGCACCTTCCAGCCTTTGGTCTCCAGACTAAGGTCCTCACCATAGTTGTCGTTGTCATCACATATCACCATCATCATCACCCAATAGTGCTTCCTATGTACCAGGTATGTATACATATATCTCACCTCATTTATCCCATCAGCCCTATGAAATGGGCATTGTTATCATCTCCATTTTCCTCATTTGAAGCACAAAGAGGTTAGGCTTACCCAAGATCACACAGCTACTAAGTGGCAGGGTCTGGCTCTGGAGTCCTTTTCTTTTTAATATATTTTATTGATTTTTTTACAGAGAGGAAGGGAGCGGGATAGAGTTAGAAACATCGATGAGAAACATCAATCAGTTGCCTCCTGCACACCCACTACTGGGGACGTGCCCACAACCAAGGTACATGCCCTTGACTGGAATCAAACCTGGGACCTTTCAGTCCGCAGGCCTACGCTCTATCCCAGGGGTGGGCAAACTTTTTGACTCGAGGGCCACAATGGGTTCTTAAACTGGACCGGAGGGCCGGAACAAAAGCATGGATGGAGTGTTTGTGTGAACTAATATAAATTCAAAGTAAACATCATTACATAAAAGGGTATGGTCTTTTTTTTTTATTTATTTCAATAGTTTTATTCATTTCAAACATTTTAACAAGAAGAATGTAAACACTAATTATTATAATTTGAAACTTCAAAAAATGGAGGAATCATAGCACAATAACATACCTTATATTGAAGATGGCAAAGGCAAAATAAAATTGCCTATCAAAGGAAAGGTACAAAAGCCTTTCAAATTAAACTTAAATATAATAAAATAATTTAAAACTAAAACAAATAGAAAAGAACAAAATGTGTAAACAGTAAATTAAACATTTTCTTTAGTGCAACTTCCAAATTATGCCCGGGACTTAGATGTAGATGGCAATGTAGACTGGGTTGAAAGGTTTTTGGTCTTTAAAACATCAACTTCAGTGCCCTGACCAGTTTGGCTCACTGGATAGAGCGTCGGCCTGGGGACTGAAGGGTCCCAGGTTCGATTCCGGTCAAGGGCATGTACCTTAGTTGCAGGCACATCCTCAGTGGGGGGTGTGCAGGAGGCAGCTGATCTATGCTTCTCTCTCATCGATGTTTCTGACTCACTATCCCTCTCCCTTCGTCTCTGTAAAAAATCAATGAAATATATTTTTATAAATAAAATAAAAAATAAATAAAACATCAACTTCAGTGGGAACAGTGTTGTTGGTCTCCTTTTTTAGCTAATGCATCAAAGTCTGGAGTTAGTTTTGTTGTGGCTATTCTCAGGATAGATCTGAGGTGTTCGTCAGTTAAGCTGGATCTGTGAGGGGCTTTGTTGATGTTCATGACGCTAAATGTCTGCTCACAAACATAGGTTGACCCAAACAGCACCAGTATCTTCTGTGCCATCCTCCGGATGTTTGGAAAAGTGGCTTCATTAAGTGAAGCATAAAAGTCTCTTAGTTCAAGAGAGCTGAATTTCTCCTTTAGGACAAAGTCAGACTGAAGATCGGTGAGTTCCAGTTGCACCTCTTCTGGTGCTGTTTCAGGGTTTTGTGACAAAGGACAGGCCACCAGTTGAAGTGACTGGTCAATTTTTTCAACATCAGAAAACCGACAACAGAATTCTGCATGCAGGTCATCCAGTGATTTGCTGTATTTCTTCACGTTTTGGATGGTCTCCTTCTGTGTGGCTAGTGTGGCAAAATGAGTGAAGACTTTGTCTGAAATTTGTTTGGAAAAGAAAATCAGCTTCTATTTAAAGGCTTTCAAATTAGTGTACATGTCATGTACATACTGATCTTTTCCCTGTAGCTTCACATTTAGCTCATTCAAATGTGAAAATATATCTACAGCAAATGCAAAGTCACACAGCCAATTCTTGTCACTCAGCTCAGTAAATTCGTCAGACTTCCCCTTTAATTTCAAAAATGCACCAATATCTTCTTTGCCCAAACTCAACCAACAGACACGAGAGTGGTAAAGTAAGTCGTGGTGATCCGCATCAGTTTCCTCCAGAAACTTAATAAACTGACGGTGCTGAAGTCCCTTTGCTCGAATGAAATTAACAAGCTTTACGACTGGATTAACAACATGATTAAGTTGTAATATAGACTTGCACAATGATTCCTGGTGAATAATACAGTGAAGAAAAATAACATCTTGGTTAGGGTTCTCCTCTTTCACTTTATCCTCAATTCTTTTTAGCAGTTCAAC